ATTTTGAGAGTAAAAAATAATTCAAACTTATCTAAACGGAAACAACTATAAAGCAAACTCCAAATTCCTGTCAACTTTTTTCTCTGTGCACTTAAAGACATACTGGCAATTCCATATTGCTGAAGCATTTTATGCGGCCATTGGGAGGCCAAACACACTCGCACAGCCGAAACACGTTACTTCAATATTAATAAGACCGTGTGGAGGCTGTCAATATGACATGGCGCCAAACTGCTGCCACCGGAAGTTGTCCAACGGGAAGCGGAAGCGTCGCCCGTGCCCAAGCATCACATTACATCGTGGGGAAGGGGATGGGGGAGGTTGCGCATTGCTCATTTTTTATTATCGCCCAATCCAATCTCGGAACCGAGTACCTTGGACGGAGGGAGGAGCGATTGGCTTTCGAGCTGCCACCGAAAGCAACAAGGCAACACTTTGGGCATGGAAGATTGACGGGTTTTTCGGCATGGGGTTGCTGCTGGTGGTTATATTGGCCACTTGAGGGATTGACCTAAGCCAGATTTGTGGACAGAAATTAATACATACTTTTATGGCCGGGGCGGAAATTTAATTTAATTATTAATTAGCCGGGCCGGGCGTATTATGGACATTAAGCCAGGCGCAAATCCAATTTAATTGCGTCGAGCTCAAGTGGCTGTTGTTTAACCTGGCCTCTTTACTATTCGCCTTCGAATGGCAACCAAAGCCGGAGGACCAAGATCAAAGTCAATGCCCCTGACCTGTCCTCACCTTCTCGCCATCACCAAGTTTCCCACGGAGAGTTTGGCCAAAGTTTGTCCTTTTCCTGCCGCTGTCGCACCTTGAGCGTGTTTCAACTCTTTCGCCTGCACTTTGCCTTCCCAGTTGCTGAAATATTCATAATTGAAGTTTATTGTTTACCCTCGGATGTGTGCCACACCCTTGCTCCCGTTTCCGCCCCGTTTGGTAGTTGGGGCCGCTTTGATTGTTTTGTGGCCCGGAGACCGTCGATAAGTTGGCCTGCAGAAAGTTCACAAACTTTTCAGTCGTTTTGTTTTAGTTCCTTATTCGAGCGCTCGGAAAACTTTGATTGGCGAACAAAATGGCACAAGTGATTGGACATGTGCTTCATTTATTATACAGTAAGCCTGACCTACTACTCCCCTTCCCATTATTATTTTAAGGGGTATGAGCATGCTGGTGAGATAGCTATTTTTACATTTTAATTATACTGGAAAATTATTTAAATTCAATACATATAATACTACATGTTTTTATTCTTTAATGTAAAAAATCGTTTATCAACATTTCAGTTGATTTAAGCTTTATGATTTAACAAATGCCGTGGAGGATAATTGCTGTCTCTTCTGGAATAAACACCATTATTATTTGAAGCTTCTACAAAGGGCACTTGCAATTATTTCTCTATGGAAACCACACTGTTTATGTCAGTTTTTGTTTGGCAAAAGGTCATGCGCTTCCTATTTCCGTTTCCCGAGTGTTCTTGACCGATTTTTGATAAATTGCTTTTGCCTTTGAGTATCGAACCGTAATGGAAGGGGAAAAAGGCGCCTCGAGAACCCAACCCAATATTTCCAACTCGGAGCCTTAACGGCCGTTCGGTCTTCGTTTATGGGACCCACTTGAACGAGCTATTAAATATAATTGCGAGCAATTTGTGCAATCTACTTTGGATATCATTTTAAATGCGAAGCCCAGAAAAAACCCATTCCCACATTGCAATGCTAATTGCGGAGAAAGCTAAAAAAAACCGGGACGAAGTAATCATGAAAACATGAAAATAACAATAAGCACGAAACAATGGACTGTTTGCAATTTAAATTAACATTTTGAGTGAATCAAATAAAGGCGAAAAATGGTCAGGTGACAAAAAGTGCTAAGTGGAGCAGCTAAATTGTTTCTGATGCCACCGTCAGCACTGCAGATGGTCAACAGATCCCATTGCAGGCCGAATGGCGGTGGGGAAAACAAAGGACCAAAACCAAGCCAGATTTGCATAACACGTTCCACATTGCGGTTCCAGTGGCCAAAAAAAAAAGCAGGGTCCGAGATTCTGCCACATAACGCCCACCGAGAGACTGCGGCTGGTTTCATATATTTCAGCCTTCACTTTGCCGAAAATCCCTTTATCCACATCTGGCTGCCGTGCCATATAATATTCTAGCAATATCGTAAAGCGAAAAGTTGGAGGGCACACTGGCTTACCCTGCAGATCAGTTTGTTTTTATTTGTCAGTAATAATCTTTCAGTAGTCTACTTGTAACCAAAAAAATATAAAAAGGGTACAATAATAAAAGTATCGATCGGGCTTTATTAGTAATTTGCTTTATATTCAAATAATAAAAATCTCAGTTAAAACCAAACAAATTTGTCTAATATTTCAAGTCTAAAAGTCATGAATTTAACACTCCACAAGAAATCTTAATTTATAGTTCAAGCTTCAATATCAACCAAAAATGGGCAGTCGTGACGAATTTACTCTTTACTAGGTTTTAAAAGTATAATAGGAAACTGCTTACAATGTCTTCGAAACATGCCCTTTTCTTTCTCCGCGAAAACGGAAAAGTGGCGGGAAAACGATTTACATTTCACTTGGTTTGGATGCTTTAGTTCGACGCCGTTTTCTGTGTTATCTGGCCTGTCTTTTCCCCTTTTTTTCGCTGACAACCTGGTCAGAGGACTCCGGGCTGTCCAAAACCCAAAGCCAAGGAACAAGGAGCGGCAAACAAAGGCAACAACAGCTAGACAAACAAAAGTGGCTAAAAAGCAAAAGCAGCAAAAAGGCCAAAGGCGAGGCACGAACTCTCTCACGAACACACAAACAAACCCGCTCGCACTGCCACTCATAGATACATATATGCATGAAATTTCACACCCAAGGGCGGAGGTGAAGGGGTAAGGGTTGATGGGTGGTTTTCGGCTGTTTTGGGGTGAACAAGTACGGCAAGAGGAGCCGAAATCCAAATACACAAACAATGGCGGTGCGAGGGTACTAAGCCAAGCTAAGAAGGTTTTGGTAAACAAATTTTACTGCCAACTCGCACACAAACAGCCCACACACACACAAATACGCAAACACACTTAGCAAAAATGAAGTTTTTTATTTGTAAGTTAATAGTATAACATTTCAATACCTTCCTTTAAGGCAACACTTGTTAATACAAAATTTACCTCTTCGCCAATAATGAAAAATCAACCAAATTAAAGTAAATTAGAAAAATAAAATGAACACTGTGAGTAGCATAAGTTAAGAATTTTTTTTAATAAAAAGAGTCATGGAAAGTTTTTAAACACATATAACCTCTGGTATTTGGGAACCATGTTATAACTTTAATTGATTTGCTTATCATAACATTTTTCTCTAAGTGTACATATTCTGTTGTTGCTGGCCCAGGACATTCATAGTTAAAATTTAGAGAGACAGCGCCGAGAGATTTGGCAAACAGCAACAATATTCCTACCGCTGATGTTGCCAGCCGAAAACCCCCTTACCGCCCCTTCTTGTTACCCTCCTGTTGCGTTAATCAAGGTTCACACAATCGCCAACGACAACAACATCACCAGCAACAACAATAACCACTACAACAATGTGGGGCGTGCACGTGCCAAAATTGCCATGGAATATTTTGCATTTGTTTTTTATTTGTGTTAGCGACATTTCCTAGCCGAGTTTTTGTTTCGGGCCATTTGTTGCTGTTGGCCATCTGGGTGTTGATTAAAAATTTTTCAGGTCCTGAAAATTCATGGCCCTCTATATCCTTCTTAATACAGTGTAGGAGAAATGAAAAAACCAAGTTTTCTTTTGGTCTGTTTATCGAGTATGTTAAGATAAGTTTTAAAACGTATTTAAATTTGGTATTTTCAAAAGAGTTTTAGTTTTAGTTTTAAAATATTGTATACAATTTAATCAAATAATCCATCAATATAAAGTTTTTTAAGAATCTAACGTCTTCAGACCATACATTTTTGGAAGTACGTTCAATAAATTTTAAATTGAAGATTTTGATTCCCAAATGTAGTTTATATTCTCGCTTTGTGACACACTGTATTTGCCATAAACTGAGGCCAATATTCATCCACTATTCCCTTGAGAAAACCTTTTGCTTTCTGACTATTAAAATCGATTGGATTCTGGTTGCTACAGTTACATTTTGGCCGAGCCGAAGTATTGCCATATTTTCCAGTGGGTTTTTAGATTTGTTGAAGTCCATTTGGGTTAATAACAAATAACCGAATGGTCCATTATACGAAATGAGTCTGAGCCCTGGCCAAAAGTGTTGAGAGCTAATGGCAACGGCCCTGACAATGGCAGTTACCAAAAAGGGCGCTGGGGGCATCCTAACGGGAGTAGATTATGTCAGGGGCTGCCCCGTTCGCATTACCCGAAATTACTCTCATGCATTGCGTAATAAATTTATATGAGCTAATTGCCAGCAAAAGTTCATTAATTTGGGTGTCATGAACTTAATTTATTGGACCCTTTTAATATTGTTAGTTCCTGATTCTGTAAATATTTCGTTAGGCTTATGGCCAAAATATTATAAATATGAAGAGATAGTGAGCCTTTATGTTAAAGTTATTAATCAATATTGCGTAGCGAATTATATGTTAATTTGTTTCCAAGATATAATTTACTTACTCATTATCATAAAAGATAGTTGTGAACTGTTTTATTTAACAGTAATACTCGTTACTAGGTCTTATTACCAAAAAACGTTAAGTTAGGGCATTTTAAATGTTATGTTATGGTATTCATTCAAACAAAATATCACTTGAAACAAAAGCGGAATTCCCTTGAGCATAAATACCTAAGTGGTCTTATTTTCAACCGCAAATTGAATATTTCCATCCACTAAATTCATCGAACCGTATGTGCAGCTGAATATATATATGTACTCAATCGAGCGTTATCGACAGGCTCTGAAATGATGTATTTGCTTTGCTGCAGCCATGACGACCGCTAATCTAATTTTCATATATGTTCGCTTTGTTATTTGCAGATTTCATGACCCTAATATCGGCCATATGAAAGCACCACGACCAGACCCCTAAAAGCAACCAAAAAGAGAAGTCAGCAGCATAAACCAACGAATCTGGACATTGGAACAAATTGTACATATTATATAACCAAATCCGCACATTGCCAGAATCGATTAACTATACACGAGCTAGGTAAAATTGATAGCCCCTGCCTGAACACTGAAAATGCATAAATATATAAATTGAAAGGCACGCAACGATTCTAAAAATATCACAAATTGTTGTATCAATAAATTATTTATAACAATTTCTGCGGACAAAAAGTTGACAACATCAAATAAAGTTGAACATCAACATAGAAAAAACACACGAAATTCCGAGTGGAAGCACCGAGGAGGGAAATTTATTTATTCACAAATATTGCAAAACATTTTTCCAGTTTAGTATGCATATGTCGAGGCCATGATGGCAATAATGATAGCACCCCGGTAGTTCTCACATATCCACCCAAAAAGCCATACCCACACCCCGCCCACCCTAGATGTCCGCTGTAAATATTCGAGAGATTATTTTTATTGTCCTTTTCAACTTTACGTAGCATAAATTTACAATTTCTAGCTTGTAAATCATTTATACATACTTTAATGGGTAAGGCTAGGGCGAGGAAGGCTGGGCGAATGGGCGTGGCAGTTTGCTTTTCTTAAGAGTAAACTTTAAGTAGATAACACCCATCCTCTCATGAACTTGGGGACATTTTTCAAATTGTATAGGAAAGATAGTTGCAATATCGCATAGATTCCGTATTTACAATTACATATGCCTAAATATAGATACTACAAATTCTATGCCTACGAATATAATTACATATATTTACAATTGACGACCAAGCAAAAGTAAAACTTTAACTTTAGTATCAAGTCAAACACAAAAATTACACAATTGAACAAAAACACTCAAACTGAACTTAAGTAGATCGAAAAATAAGACATTGTTAGAAGTGATGAGAAGAACTAGTGTGAGGACTCCACAAGAGACTGTGTTTCTTTTCATCTCTGGCAGCATAGCATGTATTAAAAAACAAAACAAAAGCTTGTTAGTGATACTAATTTTAAACGGAAAAACCACAAAGCGAATGATAAATGAAATATGAAAAACAAACCACGTTTGATAGTTCTTAGCGAATCTTAAAATGTTTACATTGTTACGAACTTTCTGTTAAAAGATTCTTTGTAATTAAATTGACTCGATTTCACCTGTATATAGAGTACTTGATCACATCAATAAAATGATTAAGCTATTTCAAATAACTGAACAATCTAGTTTTAAGATAACAACACATACAGCGCGTTTCAGAACTACACAAGAGAAAAATGAAAATATATTTAATTTTAAACTAAAGTTGATTAAATTAAATTTAACGTAATTGAGACGTATTATAACTTACATGGTTTTATTAATTTGATTATTCAAAACTGTGTTTTAAAATTTGCTGGAATATTTATTACTAGCTTTGGTTTAAGTATCCCACCCTCGAGAACGTTATCTAGTTAAATGTTATGAAACGCACTGTCCATACGTATACCAATTAACACAAAAAAAATACATTAAAAAACACGCACTTTCGCTTATGGAATCTACTATATTTTGCAGAAGAAATAAGTAAAAGTTCCATGCAATTCGAACAAAATATGCAAATACATTATCTATATATCTATCATTCCACACTACCACACAGAAACACCACACACACATATATAAGTACACGCACATCAATGTAAGAAGCATAATTTCTGAAAAAATTTACCAACTAGCATTAAATTTTAATGGTAAAAACACGGTATGAGCAAAAACCAACTAGCTGAAGCAAACTACTAAAACCACACTTGATACAACAATGAACAAGAATCGAATCAAATCGAAACGCGAGACATAAAAGGCAACGCAAATTAGAATTGAAATAAATATGCAAATTTGGAAAAAACATATGCTACATTAGACACAAGAGTATGTAAATTGACGAAACGTTCAATAAACGAAAGCGAAAAATATTACAAAAGTATTAATACACGTACAAAGATCCGTTTGAGTGTGCAATTTTATTTATTTCGAACTGGGCGGGCATAGCCCGCATTTTGGGATGCTGTTCAATCAGTTGTTAAACCGGAAATGGAAACAACACACTGCGAAAGTGGAGGCGTAAAGTGCATTGAGTGCACTTTTCATAGCTCCCATAGGGGCTATGGCTACGGAAACTATCAATGTTGTCTGTATGCCTCGGACTAAATTACTCGAAAAATATATTTAGTTGCTGGCATGTTTTATGGATGTAGTGTAATTGAATTGAAGTATCAAAGGGTGGGAGGAAGTGAAATGAAATGGACTGAAAGGGAATGAATAGTATTTCACTGTCCCCGGGAACGAATGATGATGGCTCTCCATTGAGATCTTTTCTGGATAATAAATTTGGACGGTGTGTACGCCATGACCAAGGTAAAAGGGGCTTGGTGTGTTAAAGGATATTAAAGTCAGTTCCCATTACAAATTAAAAACAAAAAAAATTTTTATAAAATTTAAGGGGCAACCAAAATTGGAAAGAATATTTTAAATTGAAAATGAGCTCTAATATTGTATATGCTTGTATTTATTCATTATTTTCTTAATAATTAAGTTTTTCTGTAAATAAAAAAAATTTTAAATAACATCTTTACATTTTTTCTTTTAACAACGAAATTTTGCATCTATAAATATCTAAAACACATTTAAATGCAACAGAGAACTGATTCGCTCTCAATTATTTTGCAATCATTTGCAAACAGTATGTTGAGCTTTGAAGCCATTGACAATTATCGTTTGTCGGTAATTAAATTTCCAGTTTTAGGGTCGTTAAACAATTAGGCAATTAAAAAGCAATATTTATACCCTTGCAGAGGGTATTATAATTTCAGTCAGAAGTTTGCAACGCAGTGAAGGAGACGTTTCCGACCCTATAAAGTATATATATTCTTGATCAGCATCACTAGTAGAGTCGATCTAGCCATGTCCGTCTGTCCGTCCGTCTGTCCGTCTGTCCGTCCGTCTGTCCGTCTGTCCGTCTGTCAGTCTGTCCGTCTGTCCGTCTGTCCGTCCGTTTATATGCAAACTAGTCTTTCAGTTTTAAAGCTATCTGCATGAAACTTTCCCAAAAGTTGTCTTTCTATTGCAGGTAGTATATAAGTCGGAACGAGCCGGATCGGACGACTATAGCATATAGCTCCCATAGGAACAATCGGAAAAATAATTGAAAAAAAATTATAACTTTGCTGTTTTTTAATTTTTTGTTTAGTTCTTCGACATATAGCAATGGTTAAATAATTCAGAATTATGGTTTAAATTACATCAAAATCGGACGACTATAGCATATAGCTCCCATAGGAACAATCGGAAAAATAATTGAAAAAAAATTATAACTTTGCTGTTTTTTAATTTTTTGTTTAGTTCTTCGACATAAAGCAATAGTTAAATATTTCAGAATTATGGTTTAAATTTCATCAAAATCGGACGACTATAGCATATAGCTCCCATAGGAACAATCGGAAAAACAATTGAAAAAAATTATAACTTTGCTGTTTTTTAATTTTTTGTTTAGTTCTTCGACATATAGCAATGGTTAAATATTTCAGAATTATGGTTAAAATTTCATCAAAATCGGACGACTATATCATATAGCTCCCATACAAATAATAAAAATATATAATAGAACAATCAAATAATTAAGCTGCAAATCGTCATAGCTTCAATGTTTTTAAACATATACGCAAGTAAATCATAATTTTAATGTTTTCAAAAATATTTAATTCTTGCGATAGCTGCAAGGGTATATGAACTTCGGCTTGCCGAAGTTTGCTGTCTTTCTTGTTTCATAATTCATTTTATAGCAGGGCACACATTAATTATTAGCTTGTGCAGTTATTTATATTAAATTTTTTATCAATGCCAAAAGCTACGTTTAAGTATATTTATGTTTTTATTTACCCTTAAAATAGTGAGCCTAAAATTAATAAAGTCAAAAGTAAGTATAAAGCGAAATAAAATAATCTTTTCGAATCTTTTTTTAAATAGGCGAACTTTTGTTGTTTGTGTAAATCAAGATTATCACATTATATGTCCTTCACCAATAAATTTCCGTACTTTCACTAAGGCAACACCTATTAAAAGTTATTTTAAGCTTGTGGTCACACATCACATAGCATTTAAATACAGGCGACAAAAAAGAGGATCTTCGAGTTAAAACCGTAAAAGATTAATTAAAACGCATTACTCTGCAAAAATATGCAAACCAAATGCGTAAGCCGCGGGAAAAATGCGAAAGAATTACTGAAAAGCGAAATAAAAACACAAATTAAAAAATGGAAAACGCGTGTAAATAGCGAGCAAAATTTCCCGACCCTCTCACGTTTCTTTATCGCGGCCTGTTCAAATTTGCACCTAACCTTTAACGCGAGGACAGGTGGAAAAGCTGGAAAACCCAAAAGGCAAGGAAATGGAGGAGCTAGAGGAGAGGTTCATTTTGCATGCTGCGCAACAAGCATTTATGTAAATTGAAAATATGCCGGTGACGTTTCGAGGGGCGAAAATAGACGGCGCTGTTGAGCGGGGTGGTCATTTAAATTCAATTGTCAATGACATCTTCTTGCCGGCTCTGAAAATCTGCGCTCGAATGTGAGCGAATCCACTCACAAGCCCGCATTTATGCAGGGGTACCTCGCTAAGTGTAGTTTTAACATTTAGGAACTTTCTAAAAATTCTTGAAATACAAAAATTACCCAACAAATAAAGAAAATGCTTATACCAATATATGTAAGTACGGACTACATAAAAAATATGTTATATTTTTAGAAGCAGAATTTAATTTGTATAACTTTTGTAACAAATGTGCATTAGAGCTATTTTTATTTTGTTATATATAAAACCGATTCAATGACAAGAAGTATTACTTACTTAAAAGTATATTTAAAGAAGTTTCCTTATATGGAAACTTAAATGCTTATATGCACAAAAAAAAAGTTGTATAAATTTTCTAAGTTTAAGGATTTAAGCTGTTGCCAATTAGCGAATGGTCACTGTACTTACACGTATGTGAATGTTGCGCCCAGCGGTTGACCACGCAAAGAGAATTTATATTTATTACTACGAATCCCGTTCAGTTCGCGTTCAACAATTGTGCCGTGCAGACGACGTTGCAGATTTATTCATCGATAGCCAGGAAGGAAAAAAGTGCATTGGAGTGAGCAGTGAGGAAGTGGATACGCCAAGGGGATAAGACGTAAAGGAGCTTTCGAGGATGGAGCGACTGCTGACCATGTTCGAAGAGGCGGATCCCTTCTCCACGTGGTGGCCCACGATAGCGGCCCTTACGGTGGGCATTGTGATTACGGTGCGGTGAGTGCGATGAGCCAACGGAAACTGTTTTTTTTTACCCGACCACACCACGTCACCAACCCATTCGAAGCATAAAAACTTTTGCCTCGGACACACGTAAATAAATGTCGCAGCATCCCAGTAAAAACTCCCCCTCCGTCAGCATTCGCGAAAAACTTTTTAAGTGGATTTCATACAGAGATGATGGGGAAAAGAAGAGGAAATTGAAGAGATTACTGCTGAGAAGACCCGTATAACGTGTAATATCTAAAGATTAATTCCATTTTTTGACACTCCAACTAGGGGAGACTTTTTTTAGGTTGATCTGTATTACAAACATAAGTATGTTAAAGAAAAAGTTAATTACTTAATTATTACCTTAGATAGTTAATCGGTTCCATTTAAGTATGAGTTTAATTTGGGCGTTGCAAGTAAAAACCTTAATAATGTGGTTCAATAAGTAATGGCTATTAGATTCGATAATAGATAATAATTATTATAATTAATAGTTTTACTAGAAGATCTCTCAGTGATGTTAAAATAATTTAATTATTAAAAAAAAAAAAATAAAAAGTTTAAGCATTCTAAAGGGTATCTGATGTTCTGTGTATTAAGTAGCCTTCTTACTCTCTGTTTTTGTTATTCTTGCGCTCTTGGAGCAGCGCGGTTTTTGTGACCCCACGCTATCTGTCGTTCCGCAGTTGCAGGTGTTAGTATAAGCCAGGAAAGCGGAAACGGAAATGGAAATGAAAGCGACTGCAATATGGCACTCCACACTCCCATTCACTGCTCCATCCCCCTCTGAACCATCTTCAAAATATTTACAAAGTGGATTTTCGAAAGTTTGGCTCAAAGTAAATGAAATGCCAAATGAATTCCAAAATGAAGGATGACGTAGAATGCTTGGAGTAAAGTGCCAAAATAAGTCCCAGCCAAATGAAGTGGAGCAAATGGAATGTGGTAAAGATTATAGAGGAAATAACCGACTGCAAGCTGCATCAATTTAAGTGGCTTCAAACGAAGTTGAGTAAAAGCATTTGAAAAGAAATCGTAGATTTTTATATTGCTGAAAAACTGTTTAGTGAAGCACAAATATTTTAAAGGCTTACTTATTATATGAAAAACTTTTTACCAAATTCAAATTAAAAAGGCCTTTTTCAGAGCCGTTTTAATTGACAAATAATAGAATAATTCATTTAGTGCTATCCAAATTATAAATGTTATTTAGGAATTTTCGAATGCGCTGCCATTAGTGGATTGTAATAAAATTGAATAGAACTAAAATTTCTACACAACAGCACCAACGAAAATACAGTGTAATTAAGCGAATTTTAAATGAATTAGAACTTAGCCATGCGAGTTAATTCACTTCAATAGTAATTCAATACAGACACGTAATTATTTGGGATTTCGTTGAAATTTTGTGTTCCATATGAAATCAAGAAATAAATACTAATTAGTTAGTAGTTAGTTAATTTTATACCGGTGTGGAGTTTAAAGTTTCAGCAAAGTTTTTTGATAAACTAATTCCGTGCGTAACCTGAGGCTTGACTTTAAATATTTGAACAAAAATTATTCACACAAATGCAACGAATTTGTTGAAACTAAAATTGATTTACACCAGGCACGTTAGTTCAAATATTGTAGGCAT